AAAAATCGTTAATGATATAAAAATTGAAAAAAAAAAACACGCTTTTAAAAACAACGTTAAAAAAACACGCTGGCTTAAATATTTAAAAAGCGTGATTTCAAAATGTGACTAAAAACTTAAAGTTAAGAATAACAAACTTCTGAACCGCGACATAAACAAATTTTTAAACCTATCTGATAATATGAATACGCTAATTTAATATTATTATTATTATTATTAGTCGAGTTACGTCATTTTCTAGGCTTTTCTATTTTAAAGTAGTTTCTAGGCTTTTCTATACGCGGTTTTTTTTTTAATTTTATTTACTAACAACGCGTATTACGGGATGCTTACTGCTAGTTGTCTAATAATAGCAAATTGAGTTTTTTTAGACGAAAATTTGTCTTAAATGGTCAACTAGAGAAAAACATTCTATTTTGGCAACTATTTTGGATTGACACTGTCACCACCCCCTTCTCTTCAATATTTTTTAAAGCATTTTAAAATTCTGCCGATAATAACCAGAAATGTAAATCAATTAGTTAAAGAAAAAAACTCTATTTATCAAATTATAACTTTTTAAATTTATATCATACTTTTTACATGTGTATATATAGGAATAAATACTAATACTGAGAGTAAATTTGCCTTGGCTATTCAGCTCATAAATTAGACAAATAATTGTCTAACTTATTTAACGAAGTGCTCCGCCAAGAAGGTAAGCCATAAGACTTTACACTCCATCTTTAAACTGCTCATTTTGCTTACGGAACTTTTAATGGATCGGTCATTGATGTAAAAGTATCAGGAATGTTGCCTAAACCCCTCTTAAGTTAAATATAAATAATATTTTATATAAATATAAATAGTAAATATAAACTGAATAAAACCCATAGGTAAACACAAATAAACATCACAAGAAACAACAAATCAATACCTTTTAAAAGATTGAGACAATTTTTCGTAACCACAGACCATATTGTGCATGAAACAGACAATAAAAACTTATTATAAATAATATTTTATATTATTTATAATAAGACTGTTTAGTGTATATACTAAGAAGTACTTTATAAAAATGATTAGTGGCATACTATAATACAGCTGGAAAACTCACGTATCAAAGTACAATGTCAGTGATAAATTCTCTGTCAGAGAATTGTTATATATAAAATGTTATATATTTCACGACATATATATTGACACGACAATTTGTTTTAAACATTCTTGTTCCTTCTACATCTGCACAGATGGCTTATAAGTTAGGTGTTTTTTCTGATATTCAAGTAGCAGAGCACATTTATTTTTCTTCTTCAGCTATTGCTACTATTTCTTGGGACTCAAAAACTCTTGATGGAATTCATGTAAATGAATGTCATATATCATCTGATAGCAAATAATTAACAATACAAATAGCAGAATTATCTGGAGGAAAAACTAATAACTATATGGAACATATAATAAATGCTATTCAAGACTTAGCATCAACATATTCTTCTTTTAGTGGCATCCAACAACATGTTATACTTCATAGATTTTAAACATATTTCAGTCAACACTTGCAAACAGAGTAGATGTAAGTAACTGTGTTATAGAGAACTAAGCAAATTTTTTGGGAAGCAACTTTTAGCACTTCATTGCAATCTTCACCCTCTTGAGGGACTTGCAACAAAGGTACGCACATTGTTGCATCAATATGATAGTGACAATGAAATCAAAAGTGAAATTTGTGGTACAGAAGGTAGAGCTACAAACCTACTCTATGCAGTTTCAAAGTTAAGTTATTTAATGAATGCATTTAAATATTTGAATAGTTATAAAATTAACTTAAATTTTAGTGATTTTGATTATTTTTTGTTGCAACATGTGATTAAAATTACAGATAGCTCTGATATCTATTTATAGATACAAAATGAAAGCTGGGGACCCAGCAGGCTTTGAGATATTTTTGATTAGCATTGGATTGAGGCTGGGTACAATAGCGCGTTATTTTGGAAACAGATTGCACATACTTTTTCATCTTGCAGGATTATTTAAATATTGTATATTTTAATCTATATATTTAATATTTTAACACAAAATGAAGCCGTATAATAAAGTCTCAAAATACTTGTTTAATAATATTATTTAACTGCAGATCCCACTCATGAAACATTGTGTCAGCTGGCTTAAACTTGTAAGAGATGATCCTTTTCAAGTTATTATTTTTAAATTTCATCTATTATCATTAAATATCATCTAATATCATTAAATTTTAAATTTTATATATTATTAAATTTCATCAAAGATTGACTGTTTTAGAACTGAAGTATCATCATTAAATGTTGTTCTTGCTTCCCTGAGAAATGAAAGTCTTGATAAGTTCTTTCTAAATGTTGCAAAATTATTAGCATCTGGATTTCTTTCTGTGCTCGAGAGACAGCTAAAAAAGTGTTTAACAGGCAATCTTAGTAACACTCCTCCTAAAATTTTAAAGATTGCTTCTTCAGCACCAGTGCATAATATGCTCAGTGAAAGAGTCTTAGGTATGGTTGATGCTCAGTATAAAAGAGCTCCTAATGCTACAAAAGGTTTTTCAGACAGTAAAGTAAAAGGAAAAATGAATAAAACAATGAACTGGCTGCTAAACAAGAGTGAAGTTAAACAAAGAGATTTTATAATGTTTGCTATAAAACAGGGATCTGTTACAAGGAAGTTTTTAGCAACGCGGAAAGAAAGTATAAAAGCTGCAGCACATATGCAACAGTAAGAAACAGCTCAAAAAAGAGACAAATTGGAAAGAAAGAAAATAGAAAAATCAACCAATGCTGACCTAAATAATGGTCTTGAACCTGAGGCTCTTTCCGTTCTTTCAGAGGATATGAAAACTTTTGCATTAGCTGTGCTCAATAAAGACTGCAACGTTTTAGGAAAGAGTATTAACCACATTTGGGAGGTAGATGGAAAAGATATTATTTTCTGTGGTTATCTTTCGTCTTTTTCTTTTAAAAAAAGCTTAGAATTTGTAAATATTTTGTACATTGATGATAGTGGTATAACAAAAATGTTAATCAGAGAATTTTTCACTGACATTGTTCTTTGATATGTGAGTTTTCCAGCTGTATTATAGTATGCCACTAATCATTTTTATAAAGTACTTCTTAGTATATACACTAAACAGTCTTATTATAAATAATATAAAACATTATACAATCTTTATTGTCTCTTACATGCACAATATGATCTGTGGTTTACAATAAATTGTCTCATACCTTTTAAAAGGTATTGATTTGTTGTTTCTTGTGATGTTTATTTGTGTTTACCTATGAGTTTTATTCAGTTTATATTTATTATTCATATTTATATAAAATATTATTTATATTTAACTTAAGAGGGGTTTAGGCAACATTCCTGATACTTTTACATCAATGACCGATCCATTAAAAGTTCCGTAAGCAAAATGAGCAGTTTAAAGAAGGAGTGCAAAGTCCTATGGCTTACCCTCTCGGCGGAGCACTTCGTTAAATAAGTTACATAAGACAATTATTTGTCTAATTTATGAGCTGAATAGCCAAGGCAAATTTATCGTCAGTATTAGTATTTATTCCTATATATACACATATAAAAAGTATGATATAAAATTAAAAAGTTATGATTTGATAAATAAAGTTTTTTTCTTTAACTAATTGATTTATATTTCTGGTTATTATTGGCAGAATTTTAAAATGCTTTAAAAAACTTAAATATGGAAGAGAAGGGGGTGGTGACAGTGTCAATCCAAAAGAATTGCCAAAATAGAATGTTTTTCTCTAGTTGACCATTTAAGACAAATTTTCGTCTAAAAAAACTCAATTTGTTATTATTAGACAATTAGTTTAAAAATTTGTTTATGCCGCGGTTCAAAAGTTTGTTATTCTTAACTTTAAGTTTTTAGTCACATTTTGAAATCACGCTTTTAAATATTTAAACCGACGTGTTTTTTTAACGTTGTTTTTAAAAGCGTGTTTTTTTGTATCAATTTTTATATAATTGTAGGAGAACTTGCGCCCTTGATCCGTAAGCACCTTTGATCCTATAGCGTTATCTCCATACTTACATAACTTATTAAAGAGGGCTGATAACCAGCGTGTTATAAATATTGTATCTTCAAAATTAATTGTGTTTTGGTCAAAGAATAGACCACTATTAAATTTATCTCTAAATAGTTTGATTTTGACAAAAAGTAATTTTTTTACTTTTACAAGGAACTTCACATCTTTAATATTTTTTTAAGTTGAATAATTTTGCTTATGTCACTTTGTAACTTAACTATTCACCTCTTGTATGGTTGTTTTTGGTAAGCTATAGAAGCATCTAATATGACAAAAAAAGAATTTTTGTAAAAATGGAGCGGGTTAGCACCCTTGATCCTAATGCGTTTATGCACCTTTGATCATATGATCAAAGGTGCATACACACACACACACACACACACACACACACACACACACACACACACACACACACACACAACATGTTTAACTTTTAAAGTGACATGTACAGTACGTCATATTGTTTTTAAATATATTTTTTTCTTCTAAAATAAAGCCTTAAAATAAAGATTTTATACTATTTTGTATTTTTGTACTCCTAAAACTTTTATATAATATAATTGTAAAGTATTCAAAATATATATATATATATATATATATATATATATATATATATATATATATATATATATATATATATATATATATATATATATATATATGTGTGTGTGTGTGTGTGTGTGTGTGTGTGTGTGTGTGTGTGTGTGTGTGTGTGTGTGTGTGTGTGTGTGTGTGTGCGTGTGTGTGTTTGTTAATAAAGAAGATTTTAGTAAGAGATATGTAAGGAAATGTCAATTAAATTTAAATACAGTCTGCAAACCTAACTTCATTACCATGTAAATCTTTACCAACTAAGAAGAAACATCTTTATCAGATTATCTTTTAAGGGCCTCAAAACATCACTATGGGTTGTCAACCAAAACAACACGAAAACTTGCCTATGAATTTGCAATGACTCTTTCTAAGCGCATTCCTAAATCGTGGAAAAGTTTTCAAATTGCTGGGAAACAGTGGCTTCGTGGTTTTATGTTACGTAGGAATTAGTTATCTTTACGAAATCCAGAAGCTACTAGTAAGGCACGAGCAACTGCTTTTAATTGTTATACAGTCGGAGAATATTTCACCAATCTAAAAGATGTTTGTCTACGATACAAGTTTCAGCCACAAAACATATATAATGTTGATAAGACAGGTCTCACAACTGTTCAAAAACCAGTTAAATTAATTGCTAAAAAATGGGATAAACAAGTTGGAAGGATAACTTCAGCAAAAAGAGGGACATTGGTAACAGTTTGTTGTGCAGTTAATGCAATAGGAAACTCAATCCCTTCATATTTTATTATTCCAAGAGTTCATTTCAAAAGAAGTATGACAAATGGTGGTCCACCTGGATGTGTTGGGGTTGCAAACCCATCTGGTTGGATAAATGTTGCAACGTTTTTAGAGTGGATGAAACATTTTATTCAAAATGTGAAATGTTCACCAGCTAATCCAGTGCTTTCACTTCTTGACAACCACGAGAGCCATATTTTAATTGTGTGTTTAGATTTAGCTAAAAAAAATGGCATAACTATGCTGTCCTTTTCATTACATTGTAGTCACAAGTTGCAGCCATTAGATCTGTCAGTTTATGGGGCACTGAAACGTTATTACAATGCAGCCTGTGATGATTGGATTGTATCTAATCCAAGACCAATGACCATATATGATATAGCTTCAGTTGTAAGGAAAGCCTTTGCACAAGCTTTTATTTTGTCTAACATTTCTGCAGGATTTGCTATGGCAGGAATTGAACCCTTTAATCCTATCATATTTTCTGATAATGAGTTTTTGTCTTCATATGTAACAGACCTTCCAGAACCTATTACTGCTAACCCATTTCCAGATGTTATTGATCCAGTTTCTGCTATTGTTCATGCCCCAGCTTTTGATCAATCATTGATTTCAAGTCTGTCATCTGGTTCAGCTTGTAGTGTATTGCCTATTCAGTCTATATCTGACTCTGGAAGTCAACTATTCAGTGTTTCTAATAATATCTCTCATCAAGCAAGTCTAAAAAAAATTAGGCCTTTTCCAAAAGCTGCATCAAGGAAATCCATTAAAGGATGTAAACGTCAGCGTACTCGAATACTCACAGACAATCCGATTATTTAACTCATTTAAAATGAGTTAAATAAGCTTCAGGAAATAAAAAAAAAATTTCAGTCAAAAAAGAAAAAAACATGAAACGCAAAATAAGATCTTCATGACAAGGAAAAGAAACTTTGATCTTGATAGTAATGAAAATAAAAACTTTGAGTCTCAGTAAAAAATAACATTTTTTTCATTAATTTTTACTTTTTTAAGAAAGATAAATTTGTAGTAAAATTATGTAGGATCAAGGAAGCATACTGGTATGCACCCATGATCCTAATTGAGCGTTCTTAGTTTTTATAATTTTAAATCTACTTAAAATATTCTGGTAAAAAAATGATTTGCTATTATGTATTGTTATTTTAGAGATCGAAATAAAAGCATATATTGAGTAAATTGGCCTGATAGATTTTTAGGATCATGGGTGCATACTCTCCCCTAACGATTTTTTGTTTTGGTTCTTTAAAACTAAATAACTTTCGTTCATTTCATGATATAATCATAATAAAACCATTTTTAGAAAGATAATATTAGGCTCTATTTGTCTTGGCAATTTTTTTAAACATAAAATTCAGTTTGAAATTTTGATCGAAGTGCCTACTTAAGTTTTTAAAAACAAAAACAAAAATTAATTTAAAAAATAGTCGCTTCACAGTACCCGACATAGCTCTTAAAAACCACAGAATTAATGAACCACTTTGCACTAGTTGAGAGCTAATATATGTACCTTTTGATACTTATGAAAAACCTGACCTTACTAAAATGATCTTTTTTGACAAAGTATGTTAATAGTAAGGATTTCTCGGCACTAAAAAAAAACACGTTACCGCTCGTAATTAAAAGCGATCCAAAATCGATCTAAAAACGCGTAAACAAGAAGCCCCAATCGAAGTACCTAGTTAAAGTACTAAAAAAAAAAGGATAAATTGTTATTTGCTTCTTTTTTCCTTCTATTTCCTTCAAGGAATACAATAGAAAATTCATCAATGATGAATTTTCTAATGTGTAAATGCAATAGTTTAAATAATTTCAGCAGTAAACAAAGTCCTAATTTAAAAATAGAATTCAAAAATTATAGCTAAAGTTAAGATTCTAAAATATACCAGAATTAGTGCTGTAGCTAAGGAGTCATAGCCCCCCTTTCTTCACCAAAAATCTGTCATTAGTGGCCTGTCTTTATTTGAGTTTTAATATAAAGTTCGAATTAGAATTAATTTAGTCATGAATCATGATAAATTAAAGCCAATTTAAAGCCTTTACGAGACCACTGCTACTTCATCAAGTTCTTTTGAAGACATACTTCAAATTCCAAAACTTTATTCTCCAAAAAAAAATTAGCTAAAAAATCTCAGATTATAACTAGTTCTCCATATAGAAAAAAATTTTTACTTGAAAAGAACGATGAGAAAAAAAACAATAGGAAAAAAAAAAAAAGAACATTAAGAAAAAAAATTTACTAAAAAAAACAATTACAATAAATTAAACAAAAGAAATAAAAAAAAAGAAAAAAAAAGAAAAGAAAATTAAAGAAATGCCTGATTGAAAAAGATGTAAACAATGATAAGGAATCGTTTTGTCCAGTTTGTCAAGGAAAATGGTGCAATGGTACCCAAATCGACTGGATAGCTTATTGTGCGTGTGCTGGGTAAACGAAGACTGCACATTAAACGATGTTTGCTATTTATGTGAATAGATTTTATTCAAATTTGTTGACTAACATGAAACTTAGTTTATGCATTTTTTTATTGACATTATTTTTTTTAATTCCTATCATGCTTTTTGATTTAAAAGGAAAAATTACATTATAAAATGTTACCTTTGTGTTTTTATTCGTATTCTTATATTTAATCAAATCGAATTTATCAAAAGCCTGCTTTAATTTTATTGAAAATTGTATTTTAATATAGTTTTTTCTTCAAATAAAATCTGTCTCACTTTGCCCCAGGTTTTTAGAAAAAGTGAGACAGAGTAGTTGTTGCCATTATGAACTTAATTATGTACCAATGCAACAACTTATCAGCACAAATATTTAAGAGATCATTAGACACATAATGTGCTAGTGGCCTGAAAAGTTTCTTATTGTGAAACGTGATTCTTCTCAAGTTATGAACATTCTCCCTGAAAATGTTTTTCTTTGCCTCAGGTTACCCTACAAGCAAAAGGTGGTGGAGATATTAAATCAAATTCGCAGAGTATATCAGCAATAATACCAGCACGAAGCGGTAGAGATATTGAGTCAAATTTACATAGTACATCAGCATTTAAGTACCCACCACGTTTGCAGTTAAAATGTTTTTTAGAAAACATTCAATTCAACCACATGAACATTTGCCGTTTGATAACAAGATCTACCATAGACAAACGGACTTTAAGGATAGCATAACGAGAAATTAGTTGTCATTTAGCCAAAATTCTCAGTCTTTATATTGCTCATTTTATGTTGCATTTGAATCACCTCTGTCTAACACCGTTTCATCATTTGTATCTGGCTTCAAAGATTTTAGAAGAGTTAGCTAACGGGTTGCAAAACACAAATCAAGCAACACTCACGTTCTTGATTACATTCGTATAATGAATATTCAAAACTTTGACAGATTTTGTAGTTAAACAATAAAGAAAAATAATGATGAAGTACTGATGCGGAAACAAATACTTTCTCGAGCTATTGATACCATTAAACATTTATGTAAGCAAACACTGTCATTTCGAGGTCATAGGAATGAATGTGCTTATTCATTGGACAATGATGAAGAAAATCAGAGAAATGTTTTGGCTTTGATACAGCTCTTGGCCAAATATATACCCACTTTTAGCTTCTCATCTCTCCATGTGTCAAGAAAAATTAACCAAAAGAATAGAAAAACTGAAGCGTCTAGGTAAAGCCGGCAATAAAGGTCGCAGTGCTCTGGTAATGTTTTTAAGAAGACTACTATATCAAAGCATCTCAATATTATGAAAAATATGATGCAGGAACAGATTGCAATGGAAATGTCTAAAACAAAAGTATACTCTGTACAAGTTGATTCTTCACAAGATATATCTACAATTGACCAATTCAGCATTGTGGTTTGCTACGTTTTAGATGCTATTGTGCATGAACGGTTGCTTTTGATTGTACCAAGCAATGACGGTACTGGTTAAGGCTTTTTCGATCTTATAAATTTGACGCTACAGCGGCTTCATTTGCAATACTGCCTATGGGACAGCACTGATGGTGCTTCAAGTTATCATAGCCAATACAACGGACTGCAACAAAAGATTACATAAACTGCAGACCACCATGTACAAATTTGCTGTTATGCTCATGTTCTCAACTTAGTTGTGAAGGAGGCAACCAGTTGCTGCATTCAGGCAGTTTCATTTTTTAACTTTTTGCAAAATGTTTCAACATTCATAAAAGTGTCACATAAACGAATTGAAACATGAATTAAACTTGTTGAAACACAAATTGGAATGGATAAGATGAAAAGATTAAAGTTGATTGGTGAACAACGTGGTCGGTTAAATCAAATGCTGCAAAGGCAATATTTGGAACATTTGCTAAGCCATCTTCAACAGTGTTTTTTAATTTAATTTTTTGTCTATCATGTATAAGCGATTCAGAAACATTTGATGCAAAGACACGTCATGAAGCTAAGACATTCCTGAAATTTGACACCATTTGGATTGCCTTTACCTACCTGAAAATTTTTGAAAAGGTGGGACCATACCTGCAATATACCTATACCCGCAATATACCCGCAATACACAATATACCATCAATATACCCGCAAACTCGTAGATTAAATGTGTTGGTTGCATTCAAGATAGTGGAGAAGGCCGCAATTGAATTGAAAAGTCAATCAAGACTTTTTGATGATGTTCATAATAAGACTCTTCAATTTGTACGGATGGCAATCGCAAGCATTATCCAGAGAACTGAAACCATATTAGAGGTGAAAGTAGAACTACCAGTTAAACGGAAGCGGAATACACCAATGATGTTAGATGAACATACAATTGACAAACGTGACGAATCTAAAGCTTTGGAACACTACAGAATTCACACTTAAAATGCGGTGATGGATCAAGTAGTCTAAAGTCTTGAGTCACGTTTCACTTCACATCGAAAATTATATATGGACATCGCCAAAGTTTGATACATCAAACTTTGGCGATCTTATCATTTTGGGAATTCCTGAAAACAGTTTACACAGCATTATTAAACTTTTACCCGATGCCAACGTTGATAAAATAAAGGCCAAACTTTTGTCATTTGTCACTAACTATGAGATTTTGATATTGTCTTTGCCTTAAGGTGGTAGTCTACCTTGAAATATGAAAATTTTCAAAATTTCAAATTGTACTGTTTTACCCAATATCATATACGTAAAAAATGATGATATTTGTTTTTCAAAAAAATATTTACAACTTATATGATTTTATCATTAGATATAGGTGGTATAATTTTTTTTATTAAAATCGCATAAATTTTGCGATTTAAAAATAATAAAAAATTAAAATCGGATCTTAAAAAATTTTTTAAAAAGGAAGCCTACTTGAAACTTGTTTTAATCATTTGGTAAGCATCTAAAAGTAATCCAGGACATCCACATGTACTTTTAAAGTATAACCAAAAGTATAACTTGAAATATATTCGAAAAGATTAAATAAAAGCATGCTTTTGCTGCAGGCAGATTTATTTTGTATTTATATATTTTTATAGTTTGTAATTTACTAGAAGTTATTAGACTCGTGCTAGAAGTCCTACTTGTGCATTCAGTTAGATGATTATGATTATTATTCAAATTTAGAAAAAAATAATAAGTATGGAAAATAAAAAACTTGATGCTGGAAAAAGACGAAAGGCAGGAGGATCAAGAATTTTCAAAAAACGACGTTTTCATGGCAAAAGTTTTTTTAAAACTCCTGAACCCAACATTGACTCGGAAAATAGTCTTCTTAATAACATACCTTCAACAAGTAATTTAAATGCTTCAACTTCATCAAAGAAACTTACATTATTAAATCATAAAGCAACA